TTTGGAAAAGTCTCAGGATACAAAATAAAATATACACCAACAACAAGTAGGCAGAGATCCGAATTAAAAGCACAATGCCATTCACATTAGCCACCAAAAAAATGAAATACCTCAGCATCTGCCAAACCAGCGAAGTGAAAGACCTTTACTATGACAACTACAAAACACTGCTCAAAGAAATTCAAAAAGACACAAACAAATGGAAAAATATATCATGCTCATGGACAGGAAGAATCAACATTGTTAAACTATTCATCCTGCCAAGGGCAATCTATAGATTCAATAAAATGCCCATTAAGTTACCAACATCATTCTTCTCAAACCTGGAAATGACAACACAGAAATTCATATGGAAACATAAACAACCACGAATAGCCAAAACAATCCTTAGCAAAAGAAACAAAGCAGGGGGTATCACACTTCTAGACTTCAAATTCTACTATAAGGCTACAGTAATCAAAACGGCCTGGTATTGGTACAAGAACAGGCATATAGACTAATGGGACAGGACAGAGATTCTGGAAGCCAAACTTCAATTTCTCAACCAACTCATCTTTGACTAAGCCTCCAACAACAACCACCAGGGAGAGGAGAACCTATTCAGCAAATGGTGCTGGGAAAACTGGCTGACCACATGCAGAAGATTGAAACAGGACCCCTGCCTATCACCATACACAAAAATTAACTCTAAATGGATCAAAGACCTGAATGTAAAACGTCAAACTATAAGAATCTTAGAAAATGCAGGCGACACCCTACTGGAAATTGGAACTGGCAACCAATTCCTATTCAGAACCCTAAAGGCCGATATCTTAAGAAATAAGATAGACAAGTGGGACCTCAACAAACTAATAAGCTTTTGTAAAGCAAAAGAAACCATCAAGAGAGCAGGGAGACAGCCCACAGAATGGGACAAAATATTTTCCAACTGTATATCTGGCAAAGGCCTAACATCTAAGATCTACAAGGAACTCAAATGTGCCAAAAGGAAAAAAACAAACAGCCCCATTAAAAAGTGGGTAAAAGACATGAATAGACACTTCTCACAAGAAGATATACAGGCAGCCAACAGATACATGAAAAAGTGCTCAGCCTCACTCATCATCAGAGAAATGCAAATCAAAAACACATTGACATATCACCTAACCACAGTAACAATGGCCATCATTAAAAAACAATAACAGATGCTGGCAAGGATTCGGAGAAAAAGGAATGCTTCTACAGTGTTGGTGGAAATGCAAACTAGTATAACCTCTTTGGAAGACAATGTGGCAACTTCTGAAAGAACTAGATATTGACCTACCATATGACCCAGCAATTCCCCTACTGGGAATATACCCAGAGGAACTCAAATCATTCTACAAAAAAGATACATGCACATGTATGTTTGCTGCAGCTCTATTCACAATAGCAAAACATGGAACCAACCATGTTGCCCATCGAAGCTGGACTGGATAAAAAAATGTGGTACATATATACAATGGAATATTATGCAGCCATAAAGGACAAACATATGGACTTCGCAGCAACTTGGATGAATTTAGAGTCGATCATACTCAGTGATCTATCACAGAAACAAAGAACAGAGTACCATATGTTCTCATTCATAAGTGCATCTTGAACAATTATAATTCTATAAGAAAGGGATTGGCAGTAGTGGGAAATTGTCAGGGGAGGGGATTGGGATCGGCAGTTGAGGGAAACTGCTAGGCAAGGGAGGGGCATACCTCATCAACAAGGGTATCTGCATAATCAACGTTTGTATACCTAACCCTGAATTGTACCCCACATCTTTATAATAAAAAACTAAGAAGAAGAAGAAAAAAAGAAATGAAGACCCAAGAAACAGGAAAATCTGAAAAAAAAATGAGCTGGGTACGGTGACTCATGCCTGCTACCCACCACTTTGAGAGGCAGAGGCAGGAGAATGTCTTGGAGTTTGAGACCTGGACACTTAGTGAGATTTTGTCTCTACAAAAAAATCAAAAAAATTATCTGGGCTTGGTGGCACACACCTACAGGCCCAGCTACTTAGGAGGTTATGGTAGAAGGAACACAGAGTCCAGGAATTTAAGAATGCTGTGTGCTGTGATCATGCTACTGAATTTCAGCCTGGGGAAGAGAATGAGACCCTGATTCAAAAGTAAATTAATTAATAAAACAAAATCTCCAGAAGATACTATAAAGGAATGTCTTCATGACCACAGAGTAGAGAAAGATTATTTTTTTAAACAGGATACAGAAAGCACTAGCCATAAAGGAAGAGATTATCAAACTGTACTACATTAAAATTATAACTTCTATTCATCAAAAGATTTTTTTTTTTTTTTGGAGTTGAAGTCTCACTCTGTCGCCTAGGTTGGAGTGCAGTGGCACACTCATGGCCACCACAGCCTTGACCTGTTGGGCTCAGGTGATCCTTCTGCCTCAGCTTTCCAAGTAGTTGGAACCAGAGGCATGTGCCATCACACCTGGTAATTTTTTGATTTATTGTAGAGATGAGGTCTCACCATGTTGCTCAGGCTGGTCTCAAATCTCCCAAAGTGCTGGAATTACAGGCTTGAGTCACTGCACCTGGCTCATCAAAAGATACCTTAAAAGAATGAAAGAGCAAGCCGTGGAGTGGAAGAGAAATTTGCATGAAAAAATATTTGCAACACATGTAACTGAGAAAGGGCTTATATCTAGAATATATAAAGAACTCCTACAAATAAATAAGAAAAAGACAGATGATCCAATAGAAAATTGGCAAAAAATAGGAACTGGTAATTCACAAAATAAAATAACCAAATAGCCATTAAATATATGAAACAATGTTCAACATCTTTAGTCATCAGGAAAAAAGACAAAACCACAATGAGATATCACTATGCATCTATCAAAATGTCTAAAACTAAAAAAACTAATATCATATGTGAATGAAAAAGGAGCAATTGATATGACCAGTTTGAAAAAGTGAAAGAAGCTAGATACAAAAGAATATAAGCATATTAGTTTATTCCATAAAGTTCAAAAAGTGAAAAAAAAATCAACTGTAGTTATGTTAGAAGGCAGTGATTAACTTTGGAGAATGGAAGTAACTGTAAAGGGGACTTGAGGTAGACTTCTGGGTGCTAGTAATAGTCTATTCTTGATCCGATAATGGTTACAGAAAGGTGTTCGTTCGTGAAAACTCAGTGAGCTGCACATTTGAACTGGACACTTTGCTATATGCATGCTATACTTCGATTTAAATTTTATTTTTTTAAATGAATAAAATAAAAATGAGTAAAATAATGAATGGGAAGAAAAGTAAGTCAATTTCAGATACACAAAAACTGAAAGTTCATGCCAACAGACTCTCATTGAAATGAACTGAAAGATGTACTTCAGAAAGAAGCAAAATGATCCCGTAGTATAAAAGTACAGAAGATGAGGCCAGGGAAGTAGGTAGGAGTCAAATTCTATAAGTTCAGCATGCCAGACTAAGGAATCAGAGGCTCCACAAGGATCCAGGGAGGCTCTAAACAGCAGTGATTTGATCAGACTTGTTCATATTATTCTGCCTGGCCTTCCACTTCATGTTTGGTCTATTAAGATATCATTCAAGTATCAATTTTACTCTAATCTATGATCCATCCCTCTTCTCAACTTCTACAGCACTTCTTTAAAAAGATAGGGGGTTTAAAACCTAGGTCTCAACTGGTCAGTTTACTGTAGACTAGAGAAATGAAGCAACAAATTGACTCATATTCACAATCTTTTAGATTTTTAAACAGTACTATATAGATGGAGGATACTAGTGCATTGGAGTTAATTTGCTACTTCAGTTGTATAATCTGCAATAAGCTGGTAGCAAAAACATGGAACCAACCATGCTGCCCATCGAAACTGGACTGGATTTTTAAAAATGTGATACAAGCCGGGCTCGGTGGCTCAGCCTGTAATTCCGCACCTTTGGGAGGCTGAGGTGAGTGGATTGCCTGAGCCTGCAGGTTCGAGACCAGCCTGGGC